CACTAGACACTAGACACTAAAAAGTGTAAACTATACTTAAAAGGCTGTTAAAGCAACCACACATTTAAAAAACTAATCTAAATGTATTATGTGTGCTGCAGAGTGAAAAACTATTTTTATGCCAGAATTTTCTATTTTTCTTCTTCTTCTGCTCTCAGTCCGGGTGTTGCATTAGAGTTGCGTACATTTTCCCTCGTTGTTTGCGATTTCTCATCCTCTGTCATGAGCAGAATTTGGGGGCTGGGGAGGGGAAGGAGCGCTACGCCTTTATAGTTTTGAATAATTACAGTTATCAGACTTTTATACACACAGACACACAACAAAGCCCTCAGAGACGGTGTTTTCGCAGAGTGCACAATTCTGAGGTGCCGTTATAAAGAGAGTTTTATGCATAATTAATCAATTCTGGGTGCACACACACTCATACAGAGAATTCTCGAGCCCACACATACCCAGCAGAGTTGAACTCAAACGGGCAAATTGTTCAAAAAGGCTGCTGCGTTTTAAAAGCTGCTGCATGCAGATAACGATGCTGAAGCACATTAGCACATCTGGTGTTTTGTTTCCCTGTGTCTGAAAAGTTAATTTCATCATTTTAATATATGTAGTACTGGAAAGGCATATTATATGTCGAAAAGTATGCGACACCCATGGGTCATGGTACCTATCTCCTTCCATCCCATTCAGTTAGGAGAGCATAAGTGAGTGAGCCACTGAAGCTGGCCGATAAGACTTGGCTTGTAGTCGGTGCAGCAGTTCAGGAAACTGACAGATGGTCTTACGGCCTGTTAAGTTTTTCCACACCAAACTCAGGTTTCTGTGGCCAGGCAACCATTGCAGGCTCCAGGGAAGTTATTGGGTGAGAAATGGCAAATTATAATTTCTCCACTTCAGTTTTTGCACAGATTGTAGGCGGTTTTGTTACTATTGGACTGACCAAGGTTAGCTGCTTCCAGTTTCCAATCTGAATTATTTATTTAACTCAAGTGTCCTTCTTTCCCTCCGTATACAGTTAGTGTATATGTCCAATTTGCCGCTTGTGCATCATGAGCCTGAGCCGGAGGCTGACCGACAGCTGGGTAATGCTATTTTGGATGATACGAGCAGCCAAAGGGAGACAGGCAGGCTAATAGCTGTTGATATTTAGATACTTATAATAGATGGTGAATCCCCTGTTGCTCTTTAGGCTATTTATACCATGTTAGAGAGGCAATCAAATGGACTTGGGCAGCATTTGACAATGCACAGATAAAAGACATGTTCTCACACATAGAAGGAGAACACCCTCACTAAAATAGCCTCGTTGGCCATGCCGGATACTCACTGTAAATAAAGAAAAAGTTGAGAAAACTCATAACTTGTAAGCAACTTGGTTGATTGGCTGTTTCAGTTTTCTCAACTTTTGCTTTTGTTTGTGCTACGATTTAGTTCTAGTAATTACAATTTTCTTGTTCAACTAATTACGATATTTCTATGAGGTTAATAAAACTTTTGTTTTGGCACAGTCCTTTTTCACCAGACTCCCTTCCTGACACAAATCTCCCATTTACCCAGGATTGGCAGCAGTGGGATTACATTAGCTTGTGATCCCCACGGCACAATGTTGGGGTTTGTGTTTCCTCCTGGCTGCAAACTGGAGATCTTTTGTGTGTTAGGCAAACACGCTAACTCCTACGCTATTGAAATTTTGCACATTTTACACATTAACCCCTCAGGGATATCTGGTATGTTTTTGTTGCTATCCTATAACACTATAATAAAAATGAAGAGGACACACAAGGTCATCTAAAACATTATGTGTTTCTATAATGTAAGCGTAAAAACATTTGTCTAACAAGCAAAAGGTTTCTTGTTCTACTTCGTGACTTCCAGGTACGATCACAAGCTAGTGTAGTATCACTTAAGTCCAGATAATTGGGAGGATTACATGTGGTGTAAAAATCATCAAACAAAAGTTGAACAGTGTATCTTAGTTTCTGTCTTTAAAACTGAAAAAATCAAAGAAAAATACTCATAAATGTAACATGGAAGATAGTTTGTCAGCGATGAGTAACCAAACACACTACAATACACAGCCATACATAAATACACACAAATGCAATGTTGTCCTTAGTAAGATGAGAACTCTTGGTAGATCCTCACAGCATTTTAAAAGCGTGGCTGTCATTGTGCAAACGCTTGTCCGACCCATTGTAGACAAACTCACTTTGACCTGCTGAATGGATCTCATTTACAAACACACTCATACACATGTGCCTCTGAAGGATGCCTTGGCGCCCCGTGTAGTGCGGCTGCCGATTGTGTCGACTATTCTGGTTTTGGATAAAATGTCCTCTCCTCCTTCTTCTTGTCGAGGCCGCGGCTGTTGTAGCATTTGCTGTTGGCATTTACTGTTTGACCCCATAGGACTAGCTGGCACAGAAAAAAGAGGGGAGCAGCGTGAGAATTTGAGATATCCGAAGGGTGTCTGTGAGAGGAAAGGAGGAAAAATGTCGGAACAAAAGACTGGGTCAAAGAGGGAAAACAAAAAAGTGTGAAAGGAGATGACATAAAGATAGATCGAGAAAGGGAGAAGACAAACAGAGCCAAAAGTGCTAGCCTGACTGGCCGAGTGGGTGACTGAAAGCTGGAAGCAGATCTGAACTCTTGTTAGCCGACAGCTGCAGAGTGGCAGAGAGCTTCAGTGGAATAAGCAGCTGCTGATAGAAAGAAAAACAGCAACAAGAACACCGACAGACAGCACGCCGCACTTCAAGGCCGCATAACGGGACGACAGACCGGGGAGGAAGTGATTTATGAGCTGGGTGAATTCTTTTAATGAGGTCTGAAGTGATGTACAGATGAAGAGAATTTATTGAAGGATTTCATTACCTTTATTATTCATTGCTTGCCTTTGTTTACACCTCCAACTGCACTCTTGTAAAACACCACCATGCCCCTCTTCACACTGTGGCACGTGCTAATGTTACGATGGACAGTGTTGATCCATCTTTAAATAGTCATAGATTGTGAGTGCTCTCAAAATTCACTCATATAGGTTG